GTGTGCAACTTTGAGAAAAAAAAAAAAAAAAAAAAAGGCTACATTCGGGAAAAAAAGCTAAACAGTGTAGAAAAAAAAAAAAAAAAAAGAAAAAAAAAAAGTACAAATTAAGCTAGCTCATAGTTATTTCCCCCCCCTGCAGTTATTTCCCGTTCGTTTTTAACACCACCCCCACTTGACCGCGCCATCGCCTCACTTTATGTGGGCCCGCCTCAGCGTCGCCGACCGGACGAACAGAATGTCCCTAATTTTGGCGATATCGTTGCTGCTCATCCACCCGTAATCCTTCGTACACACGTCCTGAGTCCTCAAATTGGATAAATAATCTGCGACGTTGTTGTCGTATATGTCTACGTATTGATACACCGTTGAAAGTTTCAGAGGGCTCACGGAAAAGTGGGACTCCGCTGAAAAACTTTTTCTGAAATGACAGGTGATGGATTTTTTTAAAAACTGAAAGATGTCATTAATTTCTTCATCCATTTGTGGAGTAATTTCATCATTTGACGAAACAGCACTTGAATATACGTCGAACATATTTTTAAGATCATTTATGTCTTTCGGGTACTGGTTACTCGTTGATGGATCGTAGCCAGATTTGTCTCCATTTGGAACCGCAGCATGGTCGTCAGAATGTTGGGGGAAACTTTGCCGCCATTCGGAATATATGTTAAAATCTCTTTTTTCGTTTTCATCCCTATCTGCTTGATCCGTGTGAGATTCTTTTTTCACGCTTATTGTGTTACTCCCATTTTGAGAAGTGCCCTCGCGTTTGTCCTTTTTATTTGTGTTCCTCGTACCCGAAACATTTACCCTTTTGATAATTTTTGTAACTACCCTATCGATAAAGTTTTTTCTCTTTAGAATAATTCTGTTCATTTCATTTGCACTCTTCATCTTAATCTCTCTAAAGTAGTTGTCCCTAAAATCTATGGTTTGGTAGATATAACTGGAGGGGTCCTTCCGCGGGTCGTACCCATATTTACAATAGGTGCGTCTCCAGGGGCCATCCGCGAAGTAGAAGCAAATGCGCGAGAAGCAACTCTTGAGGCAGTATGTGCTCACACTGTCAAGATGTTCCAATATGACTTCCTTTGACCAGATGGGTCTCACTTCGAACAGATCCTTTACCCTTTTATATAACTTATCGGACACGTATTTTTTTAATGCAGAATCGAATGGGATAGAAGGAAGGGTGGGGTCATCAAATTTGGCTATGGGGTTACAGTGGACTGTTTTTTTACTTACTATAATTTGGTTGCTCTGCATTTCTGCGTGGTGTACATTTCGGCTTGTGGTTCTAGATTCGCTCATATCGTGGTCGTCCTCGTCCGAGCGCTCATCCGAGTGGTCAACAGAATGCACACTTGCATCTTCACCGACACGCTGTTCCACATGCCGCTCTCCGTCGTCACCCCGTCTGACGCCCCCCCCACCTGCTGCATCGTAATACTTACCCACGTGTTTACCCAAATTTTTACGACTCTGCACTTGTTCCTTCATTACCGCGTGCACACTTGGGGTCATCCCAACCACGCCCTGCAGTGTGGAAACTCCCGACTCTCCCTGTTCAGTTCTGTTAATGATAAGCTCTTGAATAAACTTCTCCATTTCTTCCTTGCTTGCTTCCACGTTCGAAAAAATCGGCGCAGTAAATTTGCTTATTAAATATTTGTATTCCCTGAGATACCTACTCGTAGTTGTCGCTTCGTAATTTCTGTAGAAATATGGATTAGTGCTTTTGCTATGGATGCAACAGTTTAATTCGTACCCTTCGCTTTCGTCGGAGGAAAATTCACTCTCCTTCACTTGGTCGAATAATTCAATATTATTTTTACCACTTATTATTTTTTTGTACAATTCATTGTGACCTGAGTCGGAGAAATAGTCGTCCTCTTGGGGACCCATTTGCATCATGTGGTTAAACCTGGCGTCGTCAAAGGGGGATGGTCCTCCACCTGGAAGTTGCGCTTGGAGGTTTACACGTAGGGGGGTTGCAGAATTGGCAACGTTCATTCTGTTGCTGCACGTGGCCATTTCCACACTGTGCCCCATTTCACCAATTCGCATGTCGGTGGAGGAGCCCACCTTGTTGTCTTCCTCCTTTTCTTCAATGGTAATTGGGTAGACGCCATCTCCATGCTCTCCCCCTTCTGTCCCCCTTCCTCCGTTCGAACTGGACACAAGGAAATTCGCATCATTCTCGTTATTTCCACATTTGGGTAAAAACAACTGCGCGTCTTTATTATGCCCCATGTAATCGTTACTTGTCATATTTTGAAAATTGCCTAATCCATAGCTAGCCATTTTATCAGAATCATACATCTGTGCATTTAGGTTCATCATGTTCGAGATATTCTCCGTATTGTTGTGCACCTGTGTGTCCATTATGTTATTCCAGATGTGTGTTGGACCATTTGGAAAGTAATCCATGTTGGGCATATTTTCTTTATCACCATTTTGATGGGGTCCTAGTTGTCCTATCGCTCTATCGGCCAGCAGTTGTCCACTTGGAGGAAGCGTGGTCTGGAAGAAGTTTTGACCCCTTCCATGTGTAAAGGTATTTTCCAAATGGTTAAATGCGTCACGCGATCTTCCTTCCTCTTTGTCCACCTCTTCTTCCGCCGCTTCTTCTTCTGCTGATTTTTTTTTTTTTTTTTTTTTTTTCCCCTCTCTTGGCCCCCCCTCGTTAAGTAATGTATATAATTAGTGCTGTAATCGCGCCTGTTATAAAACGTGGGGATATAGTAAAAGTCGATCATGTTATCAAAGTAGTACATGTATCGAACAAACCCCAGGAATTCAAATTTGTATATGTTCTTCCTGGTCCTTTTAATTTTAATTAATACATTGTTCACTTTTGCTGAATTGGCTGACACGAAGGAAGAAAACATGTCATTGTTGTTAACTCTTAAGATTAAATTTTCTTCATGACTGTGTCCATTATTCTGGAGATGAAATAATTCTGTTATTTTTTTAATCCCCCCTAAGCTTTCAACGGCTGACAATCCTCTGCTGCCTTTTTTGATTCTCCCTGGGATTTCCACACAGATGTATTCGCTCTTCCGTACCTTATCAAAGTAAACGCTTTCGTTTCGTTCTTTTTTTTTCTTTCTCTTCGTGTAGAGGTCCTCGCTGGGAGGATCGCCTTCCTCCCCGGGGATCGCTGCGGTAAGGCGGTTAACACACCGGTTAGTAATAAAATGGACATTGTGACGCAGTTCGAGGCAAGGTTAAAACGCTCAGCTTCGTGGGCATGCAGTTACACATGTAGAGTGCGCATCGGGACCATGTCATTCCATTCTGCCTATTGGGCACTTACCTTCCTCATCGCTAGCCATGTTGCATTTGAGCGGCTGACAATACTTTTCTGGGGAAGGGTAGGAAAAGAGTACGTCTCCCTCTTCTCTTCAGCACGCTCTATGTGGTGTACCCCGTTTGGGCACTTCTCCCCCGTTGCAAATTTGACGGCGGCTACGGTTAGAGAAATTGCCCCATTCTCCCAACTTGTGTGCAGACGAGGGGAGTAGGCGTCATCCTTATAGGAGCAAACAACACTAATGTTGCGTCGAAAGGTTTCACACGCCTGGGCAAAAACTGAAAAACCAGAAAAAAAAAAAAAAAATGAACCGTTCAGGTAAAAAGTGGCAAAAATGGCATAAATGACAAACTTGGCGCAGATGCCTTTTACCCCCACTCTTGTACGTCACAAAAAGGGAACGCACTTGGTGCTGCAGAAATGTGCTGAAGCGCAGGGGCATTCACAAATGTGCGTTGCGTTCGGGACACAGAGAGTCACTTCGAAAAAAGGCACCCAGTATTGCCTATGCGTATAATTGCGAGGCGTGGTTTGAACATACGATTATGCAGCAAACGCTTGGGAAGACCACGCTACACCCAAGTGTCGTTTTCACAAATAGAGCATAAATCAGTGGAGACGAGAACAAAAGGAATCATAATCATGGAACGTGGAGGGAGGAGGAAAAAATTGCATAACGGGGATTATCGTGTGAACAGAAAATTGGCAACACGGCGTAAATTGTTGTTGGGCGTGTAGGAAAGGCTAAAAGGGGGAAAACAAACAGGAGAGTATTAACCGCTCCTTTGCTCTACTTGCCACTTGCGCACCTGCGAAAAGAGCGCGGAAAAGGGCCTAGCTACCCCACGTACTACACACGAATGTACAAATGCTGACACTGCACAAGATAAAAAGAATAAGCAACGCCCACCGCCTACTGCTGAACGAAGAGAGAAACAAAATTCACGTGGCCATACATGAGCATGAAGACGTCCTACCAAAGAATAACAGCAAAGCGTGCAGGAACAAGTACAAAAATGTAGCAAATCTGCACAGAATCATCCACAGCGGGGTGTTAAAAGGGCACAGAAACGTGTACTTCTACAAATGCTTACTGAAAATTGCGGAGAAGAGGAGAAATGATCTAAGCTTGCACCAAATAAATATAATTTTAAAGGCCCTTGTACGAGGCAAGATTTACAGATATGTCTCATTTCACTCCTTCGAGATCCCCATTTTGAATCATCTAAACTGGTTAAACGGATTGATTAAGGATGTGGAGGAAGGTACGTTCAGAGGAAGAGGTAAAACTCAGCAGAGCAGGAACGAATCACGCATGGTCAGTCGTCACACTGATCACACCAACGGGGAGGAAGAAGACAATTACAAAAAATTCCTTTTGAGGGAAAGAATACATGCATTAGGGAAAAGTCAGTGGAGGGGAGAAGACCCTTCCAAAGTGAAGGATATAATTTCAGACCAATTCGATATCATAGTTGATATATTCAAAAGCTACTTAAAAGTTCTGAATTTCCATTTTTGCTTTTTAAGCCAAACGATTTTCTTTTTCATAATTAAAAATTACCAGTACCTACCCCATGGGCAAAATTTAATGTCCATTTGGGGTATGTACGTGAAGCGAGTTTTGTCCAATCACCGCTTGATGAATCCGAAGGAGGGGTATCCACCTCAAATGGGGAGAAACCAACGAATGGGTGAAGATTCCACCGCATATCTTTTTACCCCCCCCGTTTGTTCACTCTCAGAGGAAAAATCACGAATCATTAAGCTGTATAGATATAAGTACACTCAAAACATTCACGCAAAGACGGTGCGAAACTACACCGTTGCTTTTAAAAATGAGAGAAAGAACAAACGAGGAGGAAAAAAAAAACATCCTTGTAAATCCCTATTTTGTAAAAACGGAAACCTCACTCTTTGCAAATATATGGTCATGCTCATGTTGAAACAAGACACATTAGCTAGCTACTGCAAACTGGTCAAACAGAAAAGAACACGTTACAAAAATGCATACCTCTCAAATGGCTATTTGTACAAAATGAAAAACACAAACATGGTGTTGGATTTCCAGTCGAAAAAGTATCTAATCAAAGTAGGGTTCGTGCAGAATGTAGCCTTCCTCCAAGGGGAAGGGTTCCACAAGGATTTCGTGACAAATGGACACTTCCTTCGTAGCGTTTCCAACTGGATGACGAAGCTCAACGTGAGGTGTCGCCTCCTTAGCGGGGGTATAAACCGAGATTAGAGGGATCCTCATTGATACACTGCAGGCGAGCAACCCGGGACAATGCCCCCAAACCTGAGCCAGTGTTGCCTACCCGTGCCAGCAACAATCTGTTCTCGCGTATCCACCGTTGTGCATTTCTGCTCTCCAACTTAATGCGTAAAAGAAAGGCTATTTTAAAATGCGTTTGGCGCCATTCACAATTTATGTGGACATAAAAGAAGGAGTGATAGACATAGTGTTATTAAAAAGGGTAAAGAGTAGGGGGGAATGTGAAAAGAAGAGAAAAATATGAGTAAATTAAATCGGATGTAATGAAATCGGCCAAAAAAAAAAAAAAAAACGAATAGGCGAAAACAAATATGCGGAGCAAATAGAGTGCAACTTTGCACTGCAGAAAACGACGGTATGCGAATGGAGATGTTCTAATTAGAGTCAAATCATTTGCCAACCGCATCACAAAAGTGGTGTGTCTGTGCGTCGGTATGGCTCTCTAGCTGTTTTTTTTTTTTTTTTTTTAACTTATTCGAAAATTCACAAATGAGTTAGTAAATCCGCCACCCAGCTAAATATTAACGTGGCTTGCTTCTTCCCTTTTCTTCGTTCCAAGGTGCGCTACTTCTCACTCATCATCCTATTGAGCCTGTCTTGCTCAATCAGCTGCAAGCACTTGGCGGCTGTTTTTCGTCGAGCCCGTTGAGTAGGCGCCTCTTTGTTTACGTAATTCGCCTCGACCTGGTTTTGCACACTCTCGTTGTTGGTGCCCGTAACTGTGCTTCCTTCCTTTTCGTTACCAATAACGCCCCTCTCTGTTGACGAGGGGTTGTCAATTTTAGCGTTGCTGTCACTCTCCTGGAGGTTAGTTGTGGACACATCCAGGGGTATCCACGTGCAATAATCATTCACAAAAGAAGTGTTATTCGGTATGGGCATGTCGGATGGTTGATTCATTCCATTATACGGATGACCTGCTGCATTGGAGTAACCACTTGTACGTTCATTCAACTGGAGCTGCCCTCCATTCATAGCGCACAGTTCTGACATGCCATTAAACGTTTGGTAAGGCGCATTCACGGAGACACTGCTGACCTGTTCGCAAGGGGGAGGGTATCCTTCGCTGGGGTGACATTCACCACCACATGGGGGATTTTCGCCCGCTGCGCTCACTTGGTTGATTGGTACACCGGAACGATCCGCCGTTCCCCCTGCCTCAAACCGCAGCTGCTCCTCCACGTCCTTGTTACCCTTCTCATTTGATAGCATATTATTGTACGCGTCTGGGTCGCCCACGGGAAGCTCACTCATAGTTTGCTTCTCGTACTCGCCCTGCAACTCACTGGCATGAATGTTCATATTGTTGGGAGTCATCAGATGGGCAAAGTTGTCCTGTGGGCTTATCGACATTTTCAAAAAATCTTCACCGTTATAATGGCCGTAGTTGTTGTTGCTGTTCATGTAGGTGGTGCTCATATTGATGCTGGGGTTCGGTTCGTACAAAGGCATAGCTTGCAGGCTGTGGTATGAACCGTGTGGAAGGTCGTGCGATGCGATGTGGTGTATGCCAGAAGGTACGTCGTATGGAATGGAACTCGGCAGGGTGTGCGATGAGGAGTGGCACATGGAGACGCCACCTGCAATGGTGCAGCCAACGCTCCCATCGTTCAGGGGAAGGCTCTGCTGCTTGAAGGCGTTTATCAGATGAACATTCTGACTCTGCTTTACATTTAGCAGATGAACCAGCCTCTGATACTGCACCATCTGCGACTTGATGCGAAAATTTAAATTTTCATTTAGCTTTATCTGGTACAGTAGATCCTTCTCGAGTTCCATCTTCCTATTCTGTATTTTTAAAATTCTTTTATTCATACGATTGTAAATGTCATCGTCGGATTCTGGCTCTTCCTTCACAACGAGGTTGTTATTTTCATCATACTCATCTGCAAGGTCTTCCTTCATTTGTATATACATAACATGGGGGTTCACATCAATGGTAACAAAATTGTTGGGTAAAAAAATTTGATTGCACGATACGTCTGTAAATCCTCCCCAGGAATAAATCGTCTCATTTTTTGCAAAGCATTTTAAACAGGCCTTGGCACTAAAGTCGTTAATATATTGAAACTTCTTCGACTCAAAAGAATACAAGGCGGATGGCATTTTCTCGATATACTTATAAGTGTATTCTTCACCCCCAATGATAAAAATATGATTTTGGGCGCAGACCAAGGCGTGACATGCTCTGTTTTCATTCAGAGGATTTACATAAACGGGCAAAATGGACCACCTCCATTTATTTCCATAATACTGAAGAGTTAACAATCTGTTGCTGACACTTGTCTTCTTTCTCATTTTACCTCCATACAAAATTAAATTGTTCATTTTATTTTCTACGTCATACCATACGGTGGTGGCGTGAAAGTATCTGCCCAAAGGATTCACAGATTGGTACTCTACCTCTTGCCACTGAAAGTAAAGAATTTTTTTCCTCTCATTTTTTGTATATTTTGTTTTCCCTTTTTTTATGTTCAATACCCAGAGGTCATTTTTGCAAAAAAAAGTTTCCTCATCATCGCACACATTTTCATTTCCCCCGAATAACACTAAATGGGGATATAGAAAATCGAGGGTATGTCCATATCTACTGTTTGGCTTCCTACCTACTGTTTGGATGTGGACCCATGTCCTTTTAACCCTTTTCAGTGAGGAATGTTTATTTTTCCCCGTGTCCTCATCTGAGTCTTCTTCAGAAGAGGCACTACCACAAGAGGAGTTGTTTCCCCTGAGCAGTAAACTTTTAGCTGGGACGCGGGAATTCACAAGAACGCCTTCATCGTCCTCGTCAAATTTGTTATCACGTGCGCGGTAATAGCTGGACCGGAAAAAGGCAGAGTCGCATGGAGGCAACGAATTGGAAGAGGATGACGATGAGGAGGGGGAAACGAACGCACTCGAGGCAGATTCACTGGATACAGACCCGCTCGATGCAGAGCACAAATGGGATGATGAACAAGCCCATTTCCTCTTCTTCCGATTGGCTGCAACGTTCTGTTCTTGGGGAGGAGCCCCTAACTTTTCCGCATCTGGTTTTGCATCACTACATGTTTCTTCCTTTAGGGAAGCCGGGTCAATATCCACATCAAGGTTGTCTTCCCCCCTCGAGGCTTCACCATTTTTGCTTCCTCCAGTTAAGTGTTCGCCAAGCGCTTCCTCTTCTTCTTCCACCATCTCCTCCTCTGCTAGTTTTTTTACTACACCATTTTGAGGTCCCTCATTTGTGGGGTCGTCGCCCTCCTCGTCCTCTTCATTCCGATCCTCTTCCATAACCACATTGTTAGCGCGGTCAGGTTCGTTCTCCCTCAGAGGGTCGTCTTCGGGAAGGTGTTCTCCCTCAGATTCATCCGGATGATCATTGCAGTCGGTCTGATTATGCTCATAATTTTGTTCTGCCAAGGGGTTGTCGCTAGTGTCACTTTCGTCCTTCGCCTCCAGTTCTACGCTACATCTGCTGCCACTCCGGTTTCGCCCACCACGATATGTAATTCTGCTCAAGTTCAAGGCACAGAGTCGATCATCCGCGAGCATGTCATTCTTCACTTTGCCCCCATGGATAAACAAAAAAACACCAGTTAATCCCAAGTTAACAATACAAGACGCGTGGAATGCCCTCGCTTCAGGAACATTATGCGTCTTCACATTCACCCAATTCTCAAAATCGTCATTTTCCTCTTCACAAATGTATAGGTCATTAAAAGTTTTTTCTAGAGAATTCTCTACAGACATCATATTGTATTTACTGTAGGCGCCATTTTCTTCGTCCCCCTGTCCTTGTGAACATCCGTTTGCATAATTTTTTACAAACGCCTCTTCCGGTACCCCTCCCCCGAAGAGAACGACTTTATACCTCCCATGGGTGAACCTATTATGGTAACCCTTCTTTCCCCCATAAGACGTACTACCCAGATGGTCGTCATTACTTATGTAATGGTTTGCAGTGTTAGGACATTGGGTGAATAATTTATCTTCTTTGTATGTCTGCTCCTCCGGGTTATCTTTTGGGGATTCTTCTCCCTCCCTTAGTTCGCCTTCCACATCATCGCCACCGTTTCTACCACTTATTTCGGCCTGTCCACATTTACATTCCTGTTGACTTGAAATAAACCCAGACTTTATCGCGCACGAATACGCATCGTCCATCCGGTGTGCTGCGAGTGTCTGGTGCGTGTCTTCATCGTCGTCTCTTCCCGACGAGGCACTCGCTTCCTCCGTTGCGCTTAATTCATAGTAATGATGTAGGGAATGTCCCACGCGACCTTCTGGTCTGTTACTGCCTAAATATTCTCTCCTCTTGTCATTAGTAAAAAGCGTTAGTGACATGCTTGCAGACGGGGGATTAAACAATGATCATGGGGGGCACACGAGGTGATGCTTTTCCACTCGTTTAAAAACGATGTGCCCCCCTTTTTTTCTTTTCGTTTTTTTTCACGTGGGGCTGTACATATACACGTATGTGTATGGACTATTGAGCCTCCGTATGTATAAGTAAACCAAACGCGTCGTCAACTCACACAACGGTCACATAGGTGCGTGTGAGCATATCGCTTGGTCTAATGTATCCATCAAGCCTTCTCTCCCCTTTTTTGGGTCTCATTTTTTAGACAAAAATTAACAAAATATACGTTTTGAATTGTATAAATGCAGGGAGAAACACTCGGGGATGTCAACCCAATGTTATTATAGGCACATGGTGCTATCCATTTAAATAAAATGCTGAAACAAACCCAAGGTTAATGGTTGTTTGTAGAAGTAGCCATGATTATACAATTATAACTTGTAGCTGCCTCTATATGCATACAATTTATGTACATACCACCTACTGGCACTTACAGAAAAATAGTACCAGTTCGCACAAAAATAAATGTTGTATAATAATTATATAGAACTTCGTTCTGTGGCAGCAAAAAAAAAAAATTGTTTGATTCGAACAATTTTGACATAATCTAAGTAAAAAAAAAAAAAATAGCAGAGTTGCGTTCGGATGGTTTTCACTTTTTCTGCATTTTGTTAAACGTATGTTTTAAAATGGCTCAGGAATGAATGGCAGTTTCGCGCAAAAAGAAAACAAGGGCAATTTGTAGAGGAAAAAAAAAAAAAATATATATATAATACAAGTTCTCATTACGCGCCCATGAAAATTTACGCCTTGTGGTATGCACGCCTACCTAAACCCCATGTACATTGAAAAAAAAAAAAAGAATTATATATTTTTTAAATGATAGCATTTTATGAAGCAAAATTGCATTTTTACTTCCCATGTTTTGGTGACCCTTCAGTTAGCATAGAGTAAAACCAGCGCATGAACGTATAGATTAATATACATATGCTTGGCGCGTAGTATACCCAGAATTGTCATGCAACCACTCTGGCGTCCAAGAATTTTGAGTTTAACACACTTTGCGGCCCACATGCAAACATAAAGTAAACCTTTTCTAAGCACATACTTGTAAAGGTTTCGAAATATGACATGTTAGAGCTTACGTATATGTGAGAATATGCTAACAAGGAAAACTTGCATATGACGAGGACTTCTTTTCTTGTGCAGAACAGTTGTTACCAGTTTGGCAATTCTTCGTGGCTTCAGCATTACCCGTCGTAACATTGTATACCATTCAGATGTACACAGAGGGGCAACTCCATTGTGATACCCCTGTTTCTTTTATGAGTAATATCCTAAAAAGGGATGCCTCCCATGTTTGCACGGAAACCTTATCGTTAAATGGTATAAGCGGCACTGCAGCTTTTACCAACAAATGGCACCACCACGATTGTAGCGTTTGCATTTTTCAGGCCCAGACAGGAACATACATGTTTTTTACAACGCTCGGCATATTCTGCATTGGGGCAAAATGACCAAGGCACCAAAGTTGTAAAACTTGCGAACGGAAAGACCGTAAGATATTTGGATGGGTCCCTCAGGAATGGACACATTCAACCGTGTAGTTAATTTAAAAAAAAGAAAAAAAAAAAACAAATGAACAAACAGGCAAAAGAGTGAGAAGCGTGCGTGTGGCCTGAATAACAAACGGAATCGTACAAAAGGCATTCAGACCAAAACGAAAAAACTAAATTCAGTACGTCTTAATAATGTTAACTAGGTATTTCCTGTGCTGTAAATTCCGAATGTCCCAAACATGAATTTCATCTTCGTATGGTGGGTATTCTCCTAAAGGAAAAAAAAAAAAAAGAAGTGTGCACATGGGACGTGAAATAATCTGACACAGCAAGACGGGAATGTGAAAATGCGAAAATATGTTATGACACATTAACAACAAAAAAAAAAAAAAAAACAGCTAGCTAGCTAGCTGCTTGGCTAGTCAACACATAAATAGAAAAAAAAAAAAAAAAAAGTTACACACAAAAGCGCGACACCGCAAACGAATGAACAACCCTTATATAAAATTACCAAAAAGAATTAACCCCTTGCTGTCGTAATCGCGGCTCGAGTTCAGCAACCATCCTGCAGAGGAATAAGCAAAAGGGAGATATTGCGTTGGTAGAGAGTGGGCCGTCCGCGCACGCACACATATGCATTTACCCATATCTGCACGTGCACACGCACATTTCTCCAGAAGCACTCACCGGAGTAGAACTCTCGTATTTTCAAGGTGTAATAAATCACCAGCGTGGACGGCGAAATGAAAATAAAATTTAAAATGCCGTTATTTTCGTGCTGCACGATGTAGTAAAAGTTGGAGTTCTCGTCGAAGGCTATGTGTATGGGGGGGAAGAGATAAAACTCAGGTTTGTCCCTTGTATATTCTACATATTCGATTATGTCCCTGTTTTCTGAAGCTAAATTGATTACGGTAAAATGGTAGCTGATTTGGAGGTTCAAAGCGTTGATGTTATTTTCATTTTTAAAATTGTTATTGTAGAGGTACGATTTTGTGTACCCCTGATGCTTCTCTCTTTGATTTTCCTCGGTATTAACATTTACATGCATATTTGTCTGATCGTCTGCATTGGGGTTATTCTCGTTACTCGCGGAGGGGCTATCGCTGTCGCTTTGTTCATTTGACTCGTCCTTCTCTTCCTTTTCAATCTTGCGTATGTACCGCTGCACAAAGAGCAGCCTGGCATTAACCGCGTCTATGGTGGCGATTTGGTTAAGTAAATTTCCGCAAAAATGGGTAACTATTTCGACGTCCTTCGTGGAAGTCTTTTCGTTAAATGGGTCCTTTCCCATCAATTTCTCTTTAATAAATGCGTATATACGTTCCACCTTGGAGCTAGCCAAAATGATATAACAGTAACTACTCGCAAGAAACACATTAGGGTTCTTCACGGTGTTATGTGCATGGCAGGAGTAGGACAAATTATTAAAATTGTAGCATTTACTTTTGTTTAACTGAACGAATACGAAAAAGCACAAGGAAGTGTCCTTTTCGTGACAACTTCCGATCTGCATATTTCGAAACAGAGTCGTGTCAACTAGTACAGTGTTGATCATTCCAGCGCCAGCATCCCCACACGCATTATCTATACAGGTTGCATTTTCCTGTCTATTATTTGCTTCCGCGTAAATGTAGAAGTTATTCTTCTCTTCACTGATTCCCACTGAGACGTTTTCAAAGTTGTGTAAAATGTTGTCATACCCTTGGACATACACTGTACAGTTATTCATGTATCTTATGCTGGGAATAATTTTTCTGTTTGGCGATATGTACACAACGGAGTCATACTTCAAGAAGCTAATTTCTCTCAAATAGCTAAATGCGAAGTTTCGGTAATTTTCATTTTGCCTTAGGTTCATTTTGGCTCTGTTATTTATCTCCTCTTCCTCTTCCTTTTGCTTCCTCATAAGCAGCATGAGTACAAGTAAGAACATGAGTGTTACAAAATACTTGAAACAGGACCTTCTCTCATTGTCGAATCTCTCCCCGTTAACAGATATCATAATAGGAATCTTCTAAGGTGTGTAAATGGGGGTTTCCTCTTAGCCCGGCGCAGGGTGATGCGAAATGTGCCGCAATGTAGGCGCTGTGCAGTGTGCGAGAGTCACGAAGAAACCAATGCAAACGGTATGCACTGCACACGTATCCGCAGAAATGGCGCAGGGCAACGAATATGCTCCTCGTACAAGTCGACCGTTGCGCGTGGACTACCACACTGATTGTAGTAGGAGACATGGATACCTTCACACAATATGGATTTCACAATGCTCGCACAGATCAGCATTCGTATAACGGGCGTATACGAAAGATAGGCAGTTACATTTTTTGTTCTCTCATCATAAAGCAATTCTACTCAAATGGGGAGGGTGAGGTAATTCCACCAGTTGGGGTCTCCTTGTATTACTTAACCGGGGAAGCCCTTTCGCCTGGCCCTCCAACGAAATGTTCACAAAAATTTTCAGCGCAACTGCTTCCTATTTTTCGTGCCAACATTGCGGCTGAGTGACCTTTTCTAGCTTCCACTTGATAAAAACAGAGCCCCTTAAAATATGCTTCATCGAGGCGATAACACTCGATGATCGCGGAATTTGCCCAACTTGACAAACGAAGGATGAGCCAATGGAAAAAAAAAAAAAAAAAAAAAAAAAAAACAGGAGGGACAATTTTACCTTACGCTTAAAGCACTTGCGACGGGCACTGTAGTCAAGTGTTGCAGTGTGATTATATGTTTGGAAAGCACAACATGTGATGCTGCTTCTCCAGGGGGGTAGTTGTTTATATACACCACGCCTTTTACACGTTTTTTTGTTTTTTTTTTTTTCATTTTTTTTTTCACGATTGTTAGAACAACGCCGAAATTGTCTTTATTCCTGTTCCGTTTTGCGCCAGCTCCATTTTGAGGTCAACCAAAGGAAGGGGGGTTATTCCCAGAAAGAGCAAACGGATGCATGTAGATATGCTTATATGCATGTTCCTACTATGCGACCCGAAAATGTGCATTACGCAGTGTTAGCGAACAGTGTATATTTTTATGCGCATGCTTGTTTAATTTTTGACCAAATTGCATGGGTAAAATATTCAGGTGGAGAAAACATCTATCGAGTGCCCACAACTGAAGTTTGCACGTCTTCCATGCAGGAACATTCATTCATCGTAGTGCCATCCAACCGTGATTGTACCTTTTTCACCTGACCCCACTGTTGACCTTCTGCCCACTGCATGGGCAGCTTTTCGAACGGAGAAAACTTCAAAGACAAATGAACAAAAAAACACACCCTAAAAAATGGTACGTCTTCATATATACATACGCAATTTTGGAGATAACTCCAGCAACAGTGTACCCATTGGGGATACTACCTACGATGTGTCCTCAATATGGTCCAACAGGGACAAAAAAAAAATCGACAAAATAATTGCTCACAT